ATTTATTGTTATATGGCACTCTAATATGCATGGGACCCATATCAGACAACAACCAAATGTCAGAACCCATGGGTGACCACACCATAAAACGCACTAATATATCCGTATAAATATTCCAAAATACATGGGAAACACTATAGGAAACACCATAGGCACACACAGTAACACTTGTGGTAATACACTAATAAATCTATCCACGAATATCCATGGTATCAACCCGTACCGGTATATGTTTGACAGCTCGATCCGTATCCTTCGGCGGCCGCGATAAGACTGACTAGATTTGACCTTCCTCCAGGTCGCTCTTGTACCGGCGCGCGCAGCGCGCAATCAAGCATGACGTTCCGCTTCGCCGGTTCCGCGGCCGGCTACATTTAACTGATATTTGTTAATATTTATTTAATTATTATTTTATATTTTACAATTGTTTATTAATCAAATTATTGTTATATCTATTTAAATTGTTCATTTCTTTACATTTCCGCGTAGGTATATTGTAAACTTTTGTTTAATTATTCTATTAAAAATTATTTAATTATTATTTATAATTTTACAATTGTTTGTTAATTAAATTATTCTTATATCTATTGAAATTTATTATTTTTATCATTTTTATACATGGATATCCAGTAAATTTGTTTGAATTATTTAATTTTTATACAATATTAAGAAGTGATTATTGTGTTTTAATATAAATTTGATTTTTATCAAACTGTTATTGAACATTATACAATAATAACAGTTACAAATACTCTTCGATTCTTTAAATAATTTATTGCTTTTCTAAAATGATTTATTTTCTAAAGTAATTGAAGTTAAATTTGTTAAACAATTATTTTAATGATTTTTCGGCCTTGTGCTAGTTCTAATTAAGGGGGTAGACACGGTTAATGCAGCGAAGTGACATTACCGGCAAAGATGGGCGTATCTAGGAATAATTTATGAATTGGATAATATAAGGATAATATAAGGACCAGACTACCATTCTTTAGAGCCTCCTAAACACGTCCCTCAAATTTTTTTGCATTCTGTTTAGAAATGATGACGTAATTTGAGAACTTGCGTCTAGGGATTTTTCTAGGGATTTTTCTAGGGACTGTCGGTAAAGCATTGTTAATGTATACATATAACATTTTTTTGCCTTGTTTTCGAGCATGCGTACAATGTCTCAGCGTCACCCAGACATTTTCCGCGTTATTAAAAGGAAGGATGAAACAAAGTATTTTGTGTTATAACATCGTTTTATTAGATTTAAATTGAAATCGGTTATAAATTATGGTGATGAGTTTGAGTACTAGGACTAGGACAAATGGTTCGCGCTGCTTTGCTCTGTATACTCAATTTCATATTGCATATAGTTGGTGAAGAATAATCATCAGTTGAAACCTCTCCCTTTTTCTCTTACATATGTATACACAATCAAGTATGTGTTCTTTAGCCTTTCTTTTTCTATGATAAATGTACACGCATTTCTTTTTCCCTTTCACTGTTTCTGATTTTGTATTAACACAATGGTAATTAACGTCAGTTCAATGACAAAACATGCATCAAACTCCAGCACGCATGAATACTTTTCACTCAATATAGTTTTAATAGCATAAAATACATGTAAGAAGAGTTACAATTTCATAGTTTGAAAAACTGCATTCGATTACCACTTTGTGACATCTGCGCATATGCACTGCGCAGACACATGACCAAGAGTCTATTTAAATGAAACGCGGTACGCGCACGCGTCACTGGAGTTCGGTGCATCATAAGACAGATAAGAAATAAACGAACCAGTCCTGGGGACAGTGTTCCGGTACCTCCTTATCGCGAATCGAAAGACACACAATTGCAAGGGGATATCGACGATTTTGTCGATCCTCTAAGTTGCCAGCAACTCTTTAATACCGACACCAGAACTCCGTCCAAGGTACAATGTCCGTGATAGGTTGCTTGTTTCTATAGTTTCTTGCAGACACAGTTAATAAGCGATACGAATCTGCTATTTTTCTTATATATAACTCCTATTATGATATGGTATCTTTATTTTTAAACAATGAGTTAATAGCTGCTTGAAAAATAACAATTTATTTTAAACAATTGAACAAATAATTTAAGGAAAGATTTTATCTAATTTTTCAGGTAAAAATAAATGCATCGTGAATAATAATAGAACACAATAGAGTATCGCACATTGTTTCATAATAAAATTAACGTTCGTGATCGCTTATTGACCTCGTGCCGCTTAAAATTGTTCCACGACCGCATACTCAATCCTAGCATACCATTTATTAAAATGGTCTCGCTACAAGAAACATTCGAACTAGTAATTGAGACTAAGGAACCCTTCTCCTCGACTCTGATGCTGATCGATTAAATCTGAATTCGAGTTGAACGTGATAAATCGAATCAGTTTGAAAGGATCGCATTTCGTTTTGAAGATCGTTTCCGATTTTGTTCCAATTCGACTCGCGCGCAGCATTCTCGATATATCGCGATCGAGATATCGAGGACTTCGCTTGAATTGGAACGCGGTTTCGAATACACATGTCTGCTATCTATATAGTTTACTTGAAGCAAAATTTACAGAAGAAACGTTTGCACTTTGCATCGTTCTTTCATCACTAATTTTTCTTTGCATCAATTTATTCTAATCTCTTTCATTAGAACCCATGACGAATCTAACCAAACGCGAATGAAAAGAATAAGAAAAAGAGATTTAAAAAATGGAATCGAATCTATGTCATCTTTGATCGAACGCAGTTTATTATTTGTTGCTCGCGTTTTAGACACGCGTTGCAAAAGTCGCCTTTGTAGCTCTCGAATCGATCTAAAGCTCGATCGTAATGGCGCGAAAATTCAAACACGCGTTCCTTTATATCACTTCTGCGAAGTTAAAATGCTGATGGATCGTTCAATCGTTTATTCATTCTTTGCGTCAACGAATCAAAATGTGGTGGCGTCGAAACGTGAGTTCACCTTTTACCTTTCGTTCAAAATTTAACACTCTATACATATGCGTATGTGTGTGTATGTATGTATCGTGTGTGTATCACATCGCCATTCAACAATTTACACAGCCAGCGACGCCATTTATTTACACTTTCCGTCCAACCATATCCGATGATCCATTACCAACGTGGTCGATCATTCAATTTTTTTCATTCTAAACACCAGCACGAGGAAGAATTACGTTACAATAAAAATTTCTTTCACGATCAACAGCTCTCTCTCTCTTGGCATTATCTCGTTCGTCTTTCTTTTTCTAGCCTTCTTTAACATTTACAATAAATTACGAAGCGAACATCTCGAGTATGCAATAGCGCGTTTTTAGTCACTAATAAACTGTTGTGTAACAGCCGTGCACGATTCGAACTTGTAGAACGATATACAGGAAAGTGTGCCGCAACTTTTACAGTCAACGATCCAGCACGCGATATCTCGCGCGATGACAAAATTAATTTCGATGAAATTTCAACAATTTTCTTCTCCTTACAAGATCAAATTGTGCCGGCAGAATGGTAACATTTGCTTTGAGCAAAGATTCGTCCGCGTTGTTGAATTCGAACGTGTTCTCCCTGCTGGAAGTGTCCTCGTTCGAATTCCCGCGGTACGATCGCTTTCGAGGTTCGAAGATACACGGTTTTATTCGAAAATAAATACCCGTGCTCGACGAACATCGGTAACATTCAAGAGCCAAGTTTCGCTTAAAAGCCTTCCTCCAGGAAATCGCTTTGGACGTCGAATCGAATAGCCGATTTCCACGGACGAGAATCCCTGCTTGAAACGGACCATTTTTCTTTTTTCTTTCGATATTGAAAATCAAAACTCTTGTATTCGTTTGATCAATTGGTGATTTATTTACAAGTTAAATAAGCTGAACCATTCAACGATAAATTGTCAGGTTGGAAAACGAGATCGATTATTCGATTCAAGTCGGACTCGCGACTATCCGAGCACACACGCACATGCACGCCTCAAAAGTAACAGGAAACGGGGACAACGAAGGGTTGATAACATTGATAACAGGATTTGGTGCTTCTTCTTATTCTCTTCTCTCGGCACCAATCGTCTCGATTAACCCTTTCGTCACGAATAATCAATTTCAATAGAGTAAGAATAAGAGTACGCGTGAAAATGTAAAACGAACAAATTGTTTCTTCTGATTATTGCACGTTAGTCGTGGCGAAAGAGTTGTATCGATGACATTTATCATTCCAACGTTTCCCAAATTCTGTAGAATTATGAAATGTACAATTTGTTTTAAAAAAAATGCAACCTGAAGAATTTGGGAAACGCTGTCCTATTTAATTTAACACAGTTTCGCTAGAATTTCATTTCTAATTATCATCAACACTTTGATTGCCATTTACTCGTATCTCATTTAGCGAATTACAACTAATTTTATTAGATACTTGAAAGATTTACGGTTTTGGCCTCGCACTCAAAGTGTTAATTAAAAATCGAAGAATTTTTCTCAATTTTCATTTCTAATTATCTAATTATCGTGCGAACGTTCCTTCCAGATAGAATCACGATCGTCGTAATGCTTTAGAAAAATGAAAAACCCGAAGGAAGAAACCTTTGCACGATTCACCGTTCTTCTCTGCCGCGAAACGAAGTCAGCTCGTTATTGGCAACGTGATTAATTAATTAATCAATTAAAAAAAAAACAGAGAAAAGTCTATTTGGGGTCCCTTTTTTAAGATCGACATCGAGCAAGAAGAAATCGAAGAAGCGAAGGACGTAGAGTAAAATAGAGAATAACAAAAAGTGAAGTATAGTAATTGAAAGACTTGAATAAGAAATAGAAGAAATGTGATCGAAGATGAGGATCGACAATGACGACTACGACGATGACAACGACGATGCTGACGATAATAATATTAATAGTAATAATACAATATAATATAATAATGATAATAATAATAATCCTTATCGTTACACCAATGACGATTATTTAACGATTATCGGTAAAATCAAAGTCTGATAACGCTATATATATATGTATATATGTATAACGATTTTCATTTTTTTTTTTTTTCTTTAATGGGTAATATTACTGCGAAAGAACTTGTATCCGCTACCAGGACAACAGGTATAATACTATCAGTTAATTAATATCATTTCATACAATAATAATAATAGGGTAATAATTCTGTTAGTGCTAAGTGTATCGTTATATCCATGTACAGGGTGTACCATTCCTCGAATATCTACCAAACTATTTATAATATAAAAAAATATTTCAGAGTTGTATGAATTATACCCAGATCAAAGTAATTAACCCCGGTTCATAAACTTTTGACAATTTCCTACTTTTTATTTTGTGGACTTAAATTAATTTTACAAACGAGGAGCTCGAATAATTTTCAAAATCCTTAAACTCTCCTCAGAAATATTTTTGATATTATCAACAGTTCAGTGGGTATTCAAAGGGAATTGATTGAAATGACACACCCTCTATATACTTATGTATATCTCGTACAATTCATGTATATATATACAGTACGCAGTCTAAAAAATCTGATGAAAATTGGTATGTCGAAGGGATGACGATACAAAGTGTGTCTATGAGTGTGTGTGTGTGTGTGTAGAATTGGTGACGATGAAATATGCAACGCGTGTCCATGTGTCTCATACGTGTGCATACGCAGTGTACAGTACCGAGCATGGTAGGCTTCTCTGGGGATAAAGGCCATGTAGGGAAAGAGATCTCGTGGACTCCCATCATTGGCGTACAAACGTTTAGATGGAAGAATTTGAGATTAAAAATCATTTACATTTTAATATTAATATAATCGAAATAAAAATTTTGTAATGCTATTATTTCTACTTTGCTCGATGCTGTACATAGATACACACATATATACCTATACATAGATGAACACACACATTATGTACATATGTATGAACATGATTCGAGTTATATATTAACTTTTTTCCTCCCGTTTGTTCCTCTCTTTTGCACTCAATCTACATACATGATTATTACACTCAATTTCATTTTTTTTTTTTAATGGTAGGTACTATTCTGGGGATCCACGGCGGCAATGGTTAATAGACACTGGCGTAACTAGGATTTTCTAGGGTCCCAGATATTTTTATTTCATAAAATTGTAATTTGACTAATTTTTAAATATTTTTGCAATTCGCAATGGTATTTTATTTGGAAATTTGAATCCCTAATCTGAATTTTCTTTTAATTACTTCTCTATCTAGTTACGCCAATATTAGTGGAACACTTTTTGGCATTTTTCTTTTCTTCTCGTTAGTCCCGTGGTTTCTCTCTCTCGCACACCCACATACACACAATCATACTCTCATTTTCATCTTTTAATCAAGAAACACGCCCTTCTAACCGAACGATCTTTTTCTTGCACCCTCGTTCTCTGTCTCCGTAAATCGTGAACGTGTGCCTTAGAAAAGGGTTAAACGAACTAAAGTGTAGAGTAAAGAACTGATCGATTCGTTCCCTGTGAACTAAACATTCTACGTTCTTAGAGAAGAAATTCTTCTATCAACCCTTTTAAAGCCTGTATAATGAAAAACGACCCCTTTCAATCAGTCTCTCGACGAATTCCTTAAGCTCTTCATTACATTCGCAGCCCTCTTCGCGTCTCCTTCCCTTTACAATCGAGCCTGTGTGTCTCTGTGTAACGCGTACGCATTCGCATCCCTTGAATTCGACTTGGCACAAACAACAGAGTTTTTCTTTAAAAAAAGGCACTATTTTTGTAAAGCGAAACAGTCACATCTCGTCGCGTACAACTTCCCTTCTCGTTCGTTCAAGATCAAATCTTACATAAACGTTCCTCGAGTTTCGTTATATCACATTCCTAAACCGATCATTCGATCGTGAACAGACTTTCGAAAAATGTCTCCTACGAAGAAGAAGGCAGAGTTTGAAGAAACGCGAAGAAACGATCATTGGGAGAGAGTTGTTTGGCTGTGTTAATTTCATTCTGCGAGCCTCTTCAGGGTGAGCGCAATTAGCGATTGGGTATTCGAAATATCATTTAAACTCTACGAGCATTGGAATTCTCGGGATTGTTCAAGAAAATTTTTCAACACTTTGACACTAACTTTTCGAATCCTTTCGTCTCGCAGCGGTGCTCGTGGTATCCGTCACGACTAACATGTATCAAAAACGTTCTCAGTCTTATAAATTGTATTTCAGTGCGAAAAAGCGTGAAAAAGTGTGTGTGTGTGTGTGTGTGTAGAAACTTCGAGGCTATCCTCGAAGATGACGAAAATGTTCACTACAAAACGTGCGCTCGCTGTTCGTTCGAACTCTACGATCGATCTTGAAAATCTATCTCGGGGAATTGTATCAATCGCGAGAGTTCGATTCGGATTTCCTGCAAAAATTGTAAGTTTGTAAAACGTATACAAATATGTTGGGGACGCTGAGTACAGTGTATACAATAGGAGTATCAAAATTTGGAAAAAGACGCGTGTCGTAAAACGGTGATATCAGTTTTTCATCGTCGCCGGCGGATGCGTCGAAGGTGAAATTGAAACGAAAGTATAGACTGTCATCGATATCGTCGCCACCTTCGACACACATCTATCTTCTATAATATGTATAAACTTTGTCTGAGAAAAGAGACGCCGTACTACTGGCAAGTAGAGAAAGCAAACGTCGAGTCGTTCGTCGTCTCGTTCGCTGTTATTTTCTTACAAGCAACAAATAAACGTTTTTGTAATTACAAAAAAAAAGAGATAGCAGACGATTCGTGGGAAAGAAAAGTGTCTCCCTTTATTGCATAGGATTGCAATGTTATGGATTATTCTTTATTCAATTACATATGTTTCAAAACTGTGTAAAATATATTCTATTAGGTCATTTTAGAATGATTTATCATGCCAAAAGTTTATTATATCAACGAAACCTTTATGAAACTTTAAGCTTTAATTTGATATATCACAAGTATTATTTCGTGGAAATTAGAAAAGACCTAATAGAAAAGGTATAGAGAGACAGTTTCTTTCTCCAAGTAACATGGATAATCATTTATAAACCAGGCATACACCATAAACGTTTAATATCCAAGAACATCTATGTTACATTTGATATAATATGGTGTTCGTTTGAATTGAAACAAGATTGTACAATTCGCTTTCGTTATTTCCTGAACACGATCCGATTCAGAGTATCTTGTAGGTATACTAAAAATGAAAAATGGTCGTTACCTCGTTTTGGCAGTGATATTTTTTCCCACGAATACTAATCGCACGTGTTTGAGACAGATTTTCCTCGAAAAGGAAAGAGGATAACTCTCAACGATGATCGACGTTGAACGACTTTCTTTAATTTACTCTTCGTTTCTTTCTCTTAACTGTGCGCTGTTCGTCACTTTCATACTCTCTTTCATCAATCATTCTTCCCTGTTCTTTCGTAACAACATTTTCCATGACTTTCCAACACCAGAGCTGTTCGAGATATGCCTTGAACGTTCAGAGCATTCGCGAACAGTCAGGTGGTTTTGAAACGTTTAAGTAGAAAAAAGAAAGCATTAGAAAAATGAATAAATCGTTCGAGACATTGACACAGCCAAATCTTTGTTTAAACATCTCCGATACGTAGCCACGGTCTTCGTATTCGTTTTATTTTTCTCCTCGACCCCCCTTAAAACCTACTATTTTTTTTTTTTTTTTTTCTTTGTAATCGCGGAACAATTCGTTCTTTAATCAATTTCTAATCCCCTCGCCCTCGTTCGACACCGAACCCACTTCTGAACACTTGGTGGATATTGCGATGTGCGTGTACCGGACGAATCCCGTCGCGTGTCTTTCAAACAACCGGAAGCCGTTCGGTCAGCGTCCAAGTTTCTTCGAAGGAAGTGATGAAAAATTTGAAGAAACAAAAAATATGTATATAAAACTTCGAAGCGGTTAATTAGGTCACGAAGAGTAAAAAAGAAACTTTACGAAAGCTGTCCCAACGAGGATATGCAAAGGGTGATTGGACACGCGACGGTTTCCCCGATTAATTTATTTATTTATTTCTTTTTTTCTCTCGAAGGAAAGCTTAGCGGATTAGGCGAGTCGTCCGGTTCTTCGCACAAAATCGAAAACGTTTTGCCCCTTTTGGCCGACTAAAGAAAAGCACACATCGTTCCTCTCGAATCGAGGCTCGTCATCGTCCACGATCCACGGTAACCTAACTATTATTTATACTATATAAACGCGAACATTTCAACTTTTCCGTAACTTCTGGCTGTGTATGTGTGTGTTTAGTGTGCGTGTTCTTGCGGAGGATCTGTCCTTTCCCGTATCTCGGATCCATGCTTTTAGACTGTTTGCTTTAGATTTGCTGGCGGATTTATTCAACCCTTTCACTGCCGTAGACGTTCGATTAATTTGACTAATCTCCTTTAATTTCCTAAATACAACCTCCATCTTTTTCCTTCGTAACGATTATTGGATCTTTTAGGTGAACTCTCCTGCTGTGAAAGGGTTAATATCGGTAATATCGGTAGAATAATATTAGGTATACCAACGAATCATCCACTATTTTTAGTTTAGTAATTCTAATAAAAGATCTCTGTCAGAAATGCAGATAAAAAAGATTTTTCTTTTATAAAATTCATAGATTAGTCTTAAAATTTCGTGAACTGTTCATTGCTATACCGAATATTCGTTCACGTATGTTGTATCCTGTATCGTTTCCCCAATCAGTGCATTTATAATAATTAGAAAAAAAAAAGAAAAAAAAATGAGAAAAGAAAAACGTCGCGTGTCTCCTCGTTCAGTCCTTAGTTCACATGTACATGCGATAGTAATAATAATAATATTAATAATAATAATAAAAATAATAATAATAATAATGATAATAATAATTATAATAGTTTCATATATATATAATATTTGTATGTATATATATATATAAAATTTCTATGTACACAAGGTAGCCAATGAATTATTACACCGCTCGTTAAATGTTTCATTTGGATCCCCAATTTCGTAACAATATCGAGCTTCTAGAAAAGAAAAAAAGAGAAGAAAAAAAGACACATCACATAGATACGAGTCAGTGGCCAACAAATTCTAATGGGGGTCGGCTAATCGAAGCCCGATTTCCCATAAAGCAAGTCAGCATAAACGCATACCTATTCGTAACACTGCTCGCGCGTGTTACATCGAATCCCATCAGTCGCAATATTAAATTATGTATAAAAAAAAAAAATTCATTCACGTGCGACCTGTGAAGAATTTCTTTGTTTAATTGTCCTAGAAACCTATCTCCATTATTTTCACACCGTACACGTGTCTCATCTCATCCCCTTGTTCCTTGCTTTCTTTTTTTCTACACGGTAGAATATCGAAATTGGCAGGCATATATATAATATTATATATGTATATATATGTATATATGAACGGTTGGTTTGTATCCTTATCTCGCTCGATAATCACTTACAGTTTTACAGCGCTCGATAATAAAAAGTACTAAGTGATAGAGTAGTTAATTAATGAATAGATAGCAGCAGCATCACCTTAAACACCTAAGGCGGATTATCTTAAAAACGGGTAGCGTAAATTGTTCTGCGGTAATAAAAAGTAAAAATGAAACGTGGATAGTCGCTAAACGATTATTAAAAAGTTTCTTCGCGATTTTACAATACGTCTTTCCTAAACCTACTCGGGTCACGTTTGGAGGGGTGAGGGAGGATGTATTCTTCTTTCTCTATTCCCCCTTTCATATACATATTTTTTTGTCATCTTTTTTTTTTTTCTTCATTTTTTTCGTACTCTTCTCATTTCTTTGTATTTCGCGCGTAAGAAATGTATCGTCGTCCGTACAAATGTGTTTGTTTTGTTTTTTCAGTCGGTTTCGCGGCGTCCCGACGCCGCATCGATTTTTCCAAAAAAGAAAAAGACGCTCTCTCTCTCATTCTCGCAAGTTGTGGTAGCATTCATTCTCGTCTCGTTCGCTCTGTTCCTTTTTTTCTCTCTCGCTACTATTATACCCTTGTTGCCGCAAGAAATTAAAACAAAGAAGATGTCTCATTCTCTCCCCGTTCATTTTTCATTCTCCCTGTTTCTCGTACTTCGTTTTTAGCGTTGATACATATATTCGTATATATAAAGTCTCTACTTGATACAATCTTATTATTATATAATAGTCTTCGCCAAAGTCTCTCGATGGCGTGTCCGCCTGTCTCCCGATCGCGGGACCATTCCCGACGAACATTCCGAATACAAAAGAAGAGAAATTAAACACTCCTTGTTTAACCCTTCGTTTCGTTAGGTCGCTGGTTCCCTGTTCTATCTGAGGTATATTAATATATACATATACGTACTATTCTGCGAGATGAGTGTACAGTTAAGAAAAATATCTGCTAATCGTTCGTTAATTAAAAATAGCGGTGACCGGATAATGGAGCTGAAAAATTGACTCTTAATTACATCGAATCCCTCCGTCTAGAGTTAAATCAGACTTCTATTGATCCTACATTAGGCATAATCACAATTTAATGACGATGGTACACTCGCAATCAAATCAGAAAAATGGAGAATTTCTCGAGGTAAATGGGGATGTTCCGGGTCTCACCCTTCCCCATAAGCATCCCCGGGGAGAATGACAATGTAGGAATGGAGGGCTCATCAACGTCATTGCGGGAAAATTTGAATAGATATTTATTTATTATTCATATACTAAATTTGATGAAATTTAGTAACAAACTAAATTTAATATTAATATCGTCAAAATTATAACTCTGAAAATTCCTGTTATATCATTCGATCTGATCGCGAATGTACCTCATATATATTTTTGAAATTCAAACTGTCAAGGCTCTATTCTACAAAATGACCGAAATTGAAATGAAAAATAATAATTTCTCAAGCTGAACTTTAGTCAGTATGCTTACTGTAGGATAACTCTGAACTTTCCAATGGTAATCCAATTAAGATGCATCTTTCCATCGCCATTTCCGGTTGTCTCGTTCGTTAAAACCGGAACGTGATCCCCTGGAAAAATAAAGCTTTCGCGTCGCGATTTCTGTTGTCGTGGCCGTCTCGAAACGAAGGGTCAAGGAAGCCTTCGACGCGTATTTTCCGTTAGCGCAACCTGGGCTAACCGTCGATGTCCGTCGATTAATCGATCAGCCGATACAGTCCATGACGATGGGGCCGTCGGGTGGTTCACTTCGGCACGCGGTAATAACGCAACACCAGGTAGCCGAGTGTACGGAAAATCACGAGAAACGCCAGGAGAACGGCCGTGTTCGCCCACAATGGAAGACCGGAACCCCTGGCGCCATTTTGGCTCTCCAGAATCGCGGACACTGGTATCGTCGTCGCGTTTCTGCATTCGGGGAATTTGCTTGGCTGTGAGCATCTGGAACACAAAAGCGATTCTCCGCGATCAAACACGTCTGATAAAAAAATGCCACGGAATCGGCTCAGTGGACCCAACTATCGGTACGTTTAACGGGAATGGAAATAAACTGTTAATGTTACAGTAATCTTAGAATGCAAATAATTGGATAATTTACAAAACTGTCGAATTAAATGACAGAGTTACCGCGCTGCATAATTTAAGACCGAATTTTTGCAAAAACCCGTGCGGTTCAACGTTATTTAAAATTTGCATTCGTGTCGTATATTGGAAAGAGGCCGCCAGATTAAAACCATTATCCACCCCTCTGGTCCTTTTCACTTCGTCCGGCGAGATCGATTCAAAACTAACTCGATTATCGCGTAACCAGGATGAGACGCGAGTCGGGAAACACGTTATTCCTAAAGTGCGAAGTCTGAAGCGGTTAGGTCTGGGAATTGAATGATGTATGCGCCGTGTCGCGGTTCGGATACGTTCATTATTTACACGTGACGTTCCTTTAACTTGATTTAATCGGCCCGATCGGGGACAGGTAGCGGAGGATCGATCGTCTTTGGAAATGATTCTCGATAAACGTTTTTCTAAGGTATAAACGTGCACTTACGTGATCGGCTCGCCGACGCCGAATTCCAGGATCTGCATGTTCTGGTAGGCGTAGTGAACCATGCTCGTGTATCTGGCCCACGCCAACCACGGTGGTACCGCGGTCGCTAAATACCCGCCCAACAATTGCGTGGCGAGCGTGTAAAGCGCCGAAGCGGTTATGCTCACCTGTAAGTCCAAACAGCACGCACCGACGAAGAAGCCCACGCTCTGCGAATCAAACATCGATCCGTTAGAAATGTCCCTAATTCGTCGATCATTTTCATCCGAGATTTACGCGGCACCGATTCGTTCGAAACGATTGAAATTCGCGTAAACGAGCACCGCAAAATCGTGGCCACCGATTCGATCGTGATATTACACCGCGGTGTATTGTGAAACACGAGAGTTACTCATTTCCGTCAATAGGTAGGTGGTTTTGAAAGTAAATCGTGACCGCCTTTCATGCTACAATGACTTAGAGTATTGACCGTAGGTGGACAGTGTCGAGAAGTAAGGGCAGGAAGGAAAGAAAAAAAAAAAAAAAAAGGAAACCGCGAAATGCTTGCCGTTTCGAGCGATGAAAAATAAACGAACGTATACTCTGTCCAACGTAAGAATAACGTCGTTTCGCGCATGGATTGGATGGCAGGAGGCGTAACGACGCCCCACTTAACTGCACACGTTCTTCTCTTTTCATACGCGGTGACAATTAATTCCTTATACATACACCGATATCGTCCCCAATTTGGGCGGTACCGTTATCAGTAGGAGACCGGTAGGGATAGAGTAGCGACCAATCGTATGCGCCAGATCGGTAGGTAATGGTGGGGGATGCGCAGATCGGTCGAAAACTGGTCGAAAACTGAAGTTACTCTTACGTTGGGCAAAGTATAGCCGATAGCGTTACGGCTAGTTTATCCAGATGATTTTTCCCTACCTGTGCAACGATCGTGTTGAGCAGCAGGAACGCCAACAGGGTGACGAAAACAGCCGGACTGTGGAAGCCCAACATGGGGTAACTAATGATATGGTAAACAGCGGGCAGCGTAATCGTAAGCGGCAACTCGCCGACCATTTTCGCCAGGTAATAGGCCGAGAGCCGATACGACCCTGACAATCGCTCCTTGTTGATAACCTCGCGTTCTGGAGGAACTGAAACAAACATTTTCCACCTCTCAGCATCCCTTATTTTTCGAAATGTCGAACACGATCGGGGTCGAATAGAATTTGTCGAGGGCAACCTTGAGCGATAAAAAGATACGATGGATCGGTAACAGTGCTACAAAGGAACGAAGAACAGGAAGGGAAAGGAGAATCAAGGAGGATGGTAAAATTGCTTTTACGACTCTGACCCTTTCTCGGGTTCGCTTTTATAACGTCTCCTCCGAGCTGTTTCACTTTCTAGCCAGGATAAGAGACGAGCAATGTAAAACACTCGCGACTAGACCGTGAACAAGTCTATGGCTAAGTTTATACCTCTCTTAAAATAGTAGAGTACCTATTAAACTTTTTCATTTTATCCTTTACTACCCTTTGTTCGCGACGATTTGTCACCTTTTGCTCAACCGGTGGCACGAGTCTCATCTTTCTACTACGAACGCAAGATTGCATTCGTTTCAATGAAATTTTCTATATCTCGTTTGATGTTTTTCTATAAGCAATTCAGCCGCGCGGATTCGTTGTCTAAAATTTCGTCACGCTCGTTTTGCACGGTACAGAGTCGACAAAAGGGCCTCCAATTACCCGGTCCGGATAGTGGGTCACGGCGCGACCTACATATACTAACGTTCTTGATTGACCGTTCCTCTGGTCCTTTGCAAATCTTTGCAATAAAAAAAAACGATCTTAGCTGAATGGCCGATTCAGCGCGTCACGTCGTCGTCGCTCAATTAACCAATCTACCTCATCTGACTCTGTTCGCGTTGCGCAATCCTCTCTCGAATACCTGAGAACTTTTCGCGCGATAGCTTTTATTCCATTCTTCTATACTCCAAGCAGCATTCTTACGAGTTCACTGTATCTTAAGTTAAGTAATTTTTAGAGGAAAATTTTTAATTATGCATCGAATTCTTTTAATGAAAATTCAAGGAGTACTCACAGGGATTGGCTGGAACTTAAATTTTTGCCAAGAAATTTGATTTAGCGGACAGGATGGGGTCCTAATTTAATTTTCATTTAATTTATTTAGGATACACCGGTGGGTACCCTTTACATTTTATGAAGGTGTGATAAAGACAAAAAGAAATTAAAAATTAGAAGAGGTTTGCGTAGGAAAGAGTGAGTTCGTCTAAGGGTAGTGAGAAGTTATTTTGAAGTCCGAAATCCCTGCCTTCGAATTCCCATGGCTCGACTGCTGCTCCACCTTTCTCGTCTAAAGAATACTTACAACTGGAGAGTGTACTGAAGTGTGCGAACAGCATCCAATACGTGGTGCTGAAGAACATCCAGCCTTGAATGTCGTGAAGAGCTGCTTCGGTTCTGGGAAGCCTGAGCCACAGCAGTCCAGCGAGTAAACCTAGGGCTATCGTTTGCAGCCAATTCAGACGAGACAGCATTCGTGGCCGTGCCTCTTGAAAGTTTCTTTCTGATAATACCTGCGAACCGATACAGAAATCCATAGTTTATTAATTATTATTAAATAATCCTTTATCCTGTTTCTCTTATGGACCTTAAAAAAGTGTCTCCTTCTTTGCTATTCTTTGGCTTAACTCGCCTTCGCTTCGATGATCTTCAAGCATCGACAGAATCTAAATGGCTTAGATCGTTGACAAATTATTTTTTAAAACTTGAACGAAGCTTCGTGTAAGTTTCATGCGACGATGATAGAGAGCTCGTATCATGATAAATTGTGTACAAAAAATAGACTGACAGAGAGTGCTGGTTATTAATCACACATGTTCATAACGATACAAATGCTGAGCGACAATGTCACAATGCAAGGTTGCTCGATACACCTCTTTGGTGCAGCTCAATTATATCAACGGCCGTGAGGAAATAGAACGCAAAAGTTTCACAATGCTGCTTTCGAAGGCCTCTTTAAATTACAACTATATAACAGAGACATTCAACCGTGCAACGAAGAGGAACTTTGTATCGTTGATCACTCAATTATCTGTGCGATGTGATATCGATTCGTTTCTTATCCCGAGATGTGATCAGAGGCGAACATTGGGAAAAATTGGGGAAGTTGGAGAAAATTGATAGGAATTTGGGGCGTGGTTAATTAAAATTAGGGTCCGTCGCTTCGCACCTGAACAGTGGAATATTTCGAGAATTCCTTTTTAAGAAATCTTCGAATCACAGATGACTGGAAGAAAAATATAAAATTAATTTCCATCGAATTAGGTGTCGCAAAGATATTTTTCAGTCGACGTAGATTAAGGAAAAGGGTGAAACTTTCTCTGTTTCTCAGAGAATCAAACGCGATTTGACGAAGAAGAATTTCTAGATGGAGTAAAAGTGATGCAAGTGACGAGATGCGTTCCTGTACAAAGAGCATCATCGCAAACGGGCATGCTGGTCGCGGTAATTATCCGGATATGGCGAATCGTGTAAACGCGACCTAGTTCTCCTTTGTGCACGCTCGATTCTCTTTTTCTCCGACCACTATTATTTCTCTCGCTTCGAATCCAATAAACAATAATTCAACGTTGGATTTCTATAATTCCATAGATCATAATTTTTCGTCTGGAATAGAAAATCTGAATTATAGAAGGTGAAGTTCATCAACTGGGGTTAACGTAGACGAAGACAGGAAACGGAGGTTTACTTCCTGCATCCGAGCCCGTTTCATTTTTTATGGGAGGAAATTGTAGCAGTTCCTCCTTTGCAAACCGGAGGAAATTATTCTATCAAATTTTCAACAGCCGGAAAATTACTTTATTCGACCGTGTGAAAAATTACCTTCACACCTGTTTATACTTCTTCAAATTAATTTTCCGAATTGTAATACAGTAAAATGTTCTGTTTGGAAATTCGAGTGTTTTTTTGTCATTAAAAATATGTATTTAAAAATTTTTTACGAAATCAAGACCTTCGGATTTGTATCTAACGAGGTTTTTTATTATGGATCAGAATGATCTAGCATTAATTAACAAGTATCCGTCTTCCGAGGATTAACGAGAGCATTACACTTGAATCCTGATGTCATTCTAATTACCCTAAGCTATTATCTAGCTCGAATACCAGAACACTCATCTAAATTTTCATATTACCACTGCATGCTCTATTAATCGCGTCTAGTCGCGCAATCGAACTTTTCGATCTCTCCTTCGTCGTTCGATAGAAATACGAAACGGTGACAACGAGCTGTGTGAAATCACGCGTTGCTTAGATATATATGGTTATATATTGTAATCATTAATTCCTGGTATTTAAGCAATTTATTTAAGTTAACATCTGGATCTAGTTCGAGCTGGTTCGAACGGTAGATAATCCGAACGATAATTTATATAGTGACACCGCTCGTTTCATTCATTATTTATTGGAATAATTAATACTGAATTGAGATCTCCTTTGCTATCAGATGGTTTAGATAGCTGATTTCGAAACATGGAAAGCCTGATACGATTTCATGACATAAAAGTATCGTGAAACTGTAATTATTATACATCATTTTAAAGCTTAAACTTCGAGGAAAATGATCGTATAAAGGTTTTATTAATATTCTTCATACAAAATGGCTGATTCTTTATTAGAAGACGTAGTGACTGAACCGGCTTATTGTTTACTCCAATGATGGATCATTTATTTTATATTAAGAATATTCATGAAACGCGTATGTAGTCGTTTTTATTAAAGTTTAAGCTTCAAATTGATGTATAATAATTACTATTTCATGATACTTTTATGTCATGAAATCGTTCTAGAATTTTGTAACAACTTAATATTTTATTACGTTGTTTGATAACTATTTCTCATTACTGATCAATTGTTTGAATTGTAATTCCGTATCGTTGGGTATCTATTAGTCAGATCAGTTCGTCGCCGTGAATCTCAATTAAGAAAATTACCTACGTGTCTGGTGTCACGAGCTCCAAACGCTCTGGAACGATGGAGAAAGAAGGTATCGTTAAAGGAACGAAATGAACCGGACTCGGTTCCGTTATTTCTCCAGAAGAAGTGACGTCAGTTAAGCAATTGAAAACAGAATCGTCACGAGATCGTTCGGCTCGATGCTCCGGTTCCCGATCACTTTCTGATTTCACTTCTCGGGATGTTGTGCATCGATTTTCGAGCAAAATATATCACTTCGTTCAACCTTCCTCTTTACTCATTCAATTTCATCCAGTTTGAAAGAAAAATGGAAATTGACCATTTCGAAAATGGCAAAATGGTACTTACTTTGAATTGCGACCAGAAACTGGTGGGCCACTGCCAGGAATAGTCCTCGTCCGCCGAACTGGCACTGCTGCTGGCATGGCTTTGTGTGTCCAACCACAGTGTACGACCTTCGTCTTCTTTAACTGTAATTCAAGAAAATTTCCGAGCTGTTATTTTCTCGTACACACCGGCATTCGAGGGATGTCTAATCGAGAGAAAGTTCGATTACACGCGAAACCACGAGGAAGAGAGAAAAAAAAAAAATCATCCCCTTCGGGTCGACACACTTCTGAACGGTGAAAAACATCTCCATTTATAAAGCTTTAATCAAACAGCGCCAGAGGAAATATTCGTGCAACGAGATACGCGTTATTAGCTGATTACCGGCTAACAATGATTCGCATTCATCGGCGAACGCGAACACGTGTTTAATAGACGATCGGTGACACTAAATTTATTATTACTAGTGTTATTCAATTCCTATCGAGCTCCGACACGTTCCCTAGCTCAGTGAAAACGACCGTGTGCAATTTAGAATATTATTCGATTTAATAACATCGAGATTAACCCTTTGAAAAAAAAAAAAAATGAAATAAAATAAAAAATAAAAATGATAAGTGTCATTGACTTAATTCTTCAAAGGGTTAACACCGTCGCCTAATAATTATCGAACAAATGAATTTTTCATATTTCTAACGATCTCACGTTACGGCGCGTAGCGTAAGTTGAAATAAGTATTACCGTTGTGGCTGATGTGGTGCTCGTGATAATGTATGAGATGGTCGCAGAGCGGATGTTGGCTGGGATTATATTCCGGACGAAGTTCCGGCGGGCAGTCAGGTCCCTGTCTCGCGTTCCGCGCTGCGGTTACGATACGCTCCCGAACCTCCTCTGGACCCTTTATTTGTTCCACTGAAACAATCGCGAAGAACCGTGTTTAAAGTACCAACTCGAACATTATTGCATATCGATCGATCCCCGACGAGTCGAAATGAAACGTATCATTCTAAAACTTAAAGGTACCACGGGTGGCTAACTCTAAAATTCATTTGGTAAATAGAAAAAATTTCTGTTAATGGATCCGCTCGATAGCGAAAACCACTAATTGCAGCGCCGGCGTCGACACGATGAATAAAGGAGTGTACTCACGTATAAAGTCGGCGGGGTTGTAATGCGGCAGCAAGGTAAGTCCTATCGTGGAGAAAAACCTGCCAACATTCGAGGTGGAGCCGTAATACGCCACCTGGCCACGGCTCAACAGAAGAAGCTTACTGAAGCTGTGAAACATCCTGGAACTGGGTTGATGCACTGTCACCACGATGCTTTTACCCTCTTGTTCAGCGTACTTCTTCAGCCGTGAAATCAACGCCTGTGCCGAGTGCGAGTCCAGCCCGCTCGTTGGTTCCTATCGAATAACAAAGTTCATTTTAATATTTTAAAAAGGTGAAACAAGTTATTATCATAACCGAAGGAGATCCTTACGTCCAGCAACATCAGCGACGGATTCGTAAGCAACTCGCATGCTATGCTGGTCCTCTTCTTTTCACCGCCAGACAGTCCTCGTTTCGTGTAATCTCCGATAACTGCAATTGAAACACATCAACATTGTTATTTTATTCCGAGCATCGATCGATAACCGACAGAAGCGGAATGAATGAAAATTCCCGTTTCATTGCGATAGGTGGAAAAATTGCCTCGAAATTGAATTACAAAAGCGACAGTGCATTGGAAAAATTCAATCGAACCTCGTTCGATGGTCGGGTTAAATAAAAATTGATTGGTGTCTGGCGAAATTCTCTGTCGCAATGAATAAAATGTTTTCGTTCTTCGTTTTTTTTTTCCGTTTTCTGTGCATCGTTATGTAAAAACCATTCACCGATATAAAATAAACTGCTATCACGGTATGCAATCGCTTTTTCAATTGCCTTTCACTTTTTCGTCAATAATTTCAGAAGAAAGAGGGGTCTGCGTGCTTTTTCTTTTTTTTTTATTAAACATAATTATTATTCAACTTTCCATTCTTTTCCTGCCAGCGACTGGATTTTAAAATTCAGAAATGCGTCTAATATTTAATTATTAAATAATGAGTAGCATTTGGGTCAATAACGAACTTCGTTACGGGGAAAAACGAACGTGCTACGATCGCGGAAATCGTCAATCAGAATCGTGGCGACGACGACGTCCGGTTAGCGAAAAGCAACGCCGGCTAAAATCGTTTCTTACCAGTGGAAGTCGTAAATCGTTACACGGCTTTCTAGTTTCGCGTTCGTAAACAAATTACCGTGAATTTACGTGGGTGCATCGCACGCGAGACAGGAAAGTAAGACGGAATAGTAGGCTCTGCTCTCGATCCGGGCGGCTTTGATCTTTGAGAAAACGGGATCGTGGAAATCGTAAAAATCATCTATCAACTTTCAAATATCAAAAGACATCTAAATCACGAAAAATTTCGAAACACTGTATTAAAACTGTGATCCAGCGAAAGGGTTTAGGGAAAGGGTTAAGAGGAGGATATTTCTACTTACTTGTGTCCTGGCAGCCGGAAAGATCGAGGACCTCGATGATGTGATCCACGCACTGCATCTTCTGGGAGTGCGAGAACGTGTCCGGAAGCCTGAGCCTCGCCTGGTACTGGAACCCATGAGAAAAGAAAAGAAAAAAAAAGATCAAGCGAATCCGTAACAAGGGGTACGTCGAAGATGATCGGTATCGTGGTTCCCGGGAAAAAGGGGGTCGCCTTTAACCGGTCGCGCGGTTGGGCACCGTTTACCGCATTAAACATCAACGTAAGCAAAAGCTGTCGGCGTGGACGTGCACATTTCCGTTTCGTAACATCCAGCCCACTTTGTGTCTATTATTACCATCCGACACGTAGCTACCCTCGGGGTAAGATGTACCGTTTCATTCTTCATCCTGATCGATCAATTACGAATAACACACCCTAAATCGACCCCCATCAGATTTTTATTACATCCTTTTCTTGTCTCTCTTCGACCATTATTTTTCGGCTTCCCGATTGTTCTCCAGTTACTTGACCTGTTTGAAATCACTTCTTTGAAACCTCGCCGAGGTGTTATTGGTAATTAATTAACAATCATTTCTTTTCATATAGAACCTTCTTGTATTTGATGTTCGACGTTGTTTGAACATCCTTACTAGTGTCCATTGGATTGTGTAGGAGGAGGAGGAGGAGAGAAGAATACACGAATTGCATAATGCAGAAACTGTGAATCTTCCGTGGTAAAGAGGAAGCACGAAACGCCGTGGCGGTGTAACGAGCCACACCTTTGTCAACTCGGCTAGAAACGAGCCACCATCGGTCGTACGCGATTCTGCACGTAGTGCACGGACTTTCCATCATGGTAAAACGCGTTCACGTGCATTCGATAATTCGGGGACACACGCGAGCCGAGGAGAAGCGAGAGAAACGAAAGAAAACGTTTCTTCTTCTATCTTATTAAACGCTTTCAACGTACGAAAATATTTGAGCGATTTACTTTCCTCCAATAGTCAGATAAAAGAATTGAATATTTACCGAAGAAACGACGAAAATATAATAAGATATCGCTTAGTTAAAAGTAGAGCCTCGTGTTCTTGGGTGGGCTTTTAAAATTCTATTATACGGCTGATTAATAGTCCCACTTAACCGTTCCAACGAAAGAACGTGCAACCGTATGGAACGAGTGATAATAGCTTTTGACGCAGTTGGTCAACTTAAATCAATGTAAAGCAGCCAATTAAACGGCCCATTGTTTCCCAGCCACCTCTTTGAAATTCCGCTCCAACGAAACCATTAAACGGCTTAATGAGAGGAAATTTCATTACCGTTCGAACGACACGATTTCGTTGCTTTGTTTTACCCGGCGAGTAAAAGAGTACCCTTATCGATGTTAGAAAAATTCTATCGCACCCAGTCGGTTCGATGGCGCCTGCTCGCTTCTGTGTGCACGAGGCTTTATGGTACTTCGGCGGTCGACACACCCTGCGCAGCGAGCAACGCGGATGGACGTGCCATTTTCTCAACAGCCGAGTCCGTTACACAAGAGGATCCGTTATGCCGAGAGAGAAAGTGGCGGCCGATGATATTTCGCGACTGGTATAGCGGTCATCTTCTCGGCCAGCAGGAAACTGGACTACTCGGAACAACGACTGTCAAGATCGTTGTCTCTCTCGAAAATTTCTCGACAACGATGCTGATCATCGCGAAAAGGGAAAGTCAATTTGGCGAAAAATTTCAAGGGTGAAAGCAATATCAAAATGTTTCCCTTTGCGTTCCCCTAGTTTGCATAGAATTCATTAGGTCGCGGTCCGTTCAATTTCAGACTTGAATGGCAACGAGAACGAGGTGGGTCATGCGCGATCTACGATACGTTTAAATCCTCTAAACGCAAACGCTAGCCGTTTGGCTTCTGTCCCGCATTCCGCGCGCTCGAAAATCCACGGTGTCCTTCTAATTTTCTCTTCAACCGGGGCCTTCGTAAATTTCACGGAACTTGGCACGGGAGACGCTCGATTTTCCGGGAAAACGAGGAAATTGTTCGTCTCTAGGTTGCCCTTTCCTATTCTACCGAGACAATTACCGCTTGGCTTTGATATCGCGTCTGACCATCCTCAGCCGCTTCTACTTGCGTGCACGAACTACTTGCTATCAGGTAAACGAAACTATTTTCGAAAAATTTCTACATTTTTTGGAGTAAATGTTAATTCATGTTTTGAGATTAAACTCACCTCGAGTGTCTGGCGCAACGTGAGATCGGGAAAGAAAACGTCCTGCTGCTGAACGTAGCAGATTCTCCTGCGCCATCTTTTTGTCAGTCTTTCACGATTCAGCCAGATTTCACCCCCGTCGACGCCCACTCGGCCTGACAGGCAATTCAACAACGTCGTTTTGCCGCAACCTACGAACCGAATAAAAGAAATAAATTTATTTAATTGTTCGAGATAAATTTGGATCGATGAGAATTCCGAGAATAACTGGGTGAATTCGTTTAAAGTTAATTGACTCAATCGCTATTATTCTCTTGAATGCTCGTGGTACCCGATCGAGTTTCGGCGCTCCTCTATTGGACAATTTTGCGCTTGTTTGCGTCATTCGTTTATTTCGTCCCGTATCTACAGACACGGCCTACTCTTTAAACCTTCGCGCTCGTAATTCCTTTTCTCTGTTCACCATTTCTATTTGCGAACGAACGTAACATGCGTTTCAGCATTCGTTGCATTTTGCAAGGTTCATCAACACGAGCAACGTTATTCGAGCGTGACAAGAAGTTGCGCCGATTAAAATTAACAAATTTTTAAGTTTTCAAGCTTTAGAGTTCCGAAAATTGAACGTTTTTTAATTTTAACCCGCCGAGATTTAAAGTGGCCGAGTTCTTAAATTTCTAAGACATAGAATTCTCGAATTGCCAAAGTTTCAAGCTACAAAGTTCTCGAATTACCAAGTACAATAACGAAAGACGTACCTGAAGGGCCCATGACGGCCAAAAGTTCACCGGGTTTAACAATGCCCGAAACATCCCTCAGAAGAGAACGTTTCTCCTTGACCACCTGCAACCCCCGGAAGATTAACTGCACCGGACGAGAATCCAGCGGATACACCAACTGCAACGCTGAGCTTTCCACTCTGTAACCAATGAAACAAAAATAGAGAAGGATGATTAAAATTGCTGATCGAACGGTTAGCTTTCGTCAAGAGAAAAATGAAAGACTTTGATTTTTCGCTAGAAAATTAGTAAGAAGCTTCTTTTCAACGATCGTTAACAACGAATCGCTCCGAGGGATGAACGAGAAATGGAAGGTTCTTAATTGGAACTTTCTTTCCTTTGTTGTTTCGTTTTTGGAAGGGTGCTTTTCCTTTCTTCTGAAGAGGAATTAATGAGGAGGTAGGGTAAGTTGACTCGGTGTTCCATTGCGGTCTTTTCCTATTGTCTTCCCGAACGCTGCCTTAATGAATATACTTGAAATCGAACCCCTGCTTGATATTAGCTTTCAAGTATTTTAAGATAAGCCTACGAATTCGTAAATTTTCAAACTCCCAAGTTTCCAGTTTAAAGTAACTCGATTGTTCTTGAACCTGTTGGGAAGGCGGAAAAAGCGTAGGAATTTCGAAACTCTGGCCTACCATTTCACGAACAGTTGTCTTCGTAATAACAATGACGCGCCATCGAAGCTATTTCACGACAACAATTAAGAGAGACATGTGTTGTGCCTCGAATCAGACCATGTCAAACAAGATCTGGCTCGCTTTCAAATGAAATATTCAACCTCTAACTCTACCGTTCAACGTATTCTCTTTCTTACAATTATTTTCATTGATTCCAGCAAGTGAAAAAGCCAAGAAACTCGCGAGAGAAAGGATCCGACATCGTTTCTTTAATTGAAATCGTTCTATTCGCGAAGAATAAATCGCATATTCCGAGTATTAATCTCAATTACCCTGTCAAATGTTCATTTAACAGATGTATCGAATAAAAATTGAATTTCTCAATCTGTGTTATCCTTGATGCCGAAGAAACAGTAGTTAAAGCATTTCATTCTTAGCTCTAGAGTTTTCGAGTCCCTTCCAAATTTCTAATTTCGCTGGCTGTAAAATGAAAGGGAATTAAGAAATCTCCTGGTATCTCTGCGAGACGTTAAAACAATACCTCTGGACAATGATGCATGTTTTGCGTGCTCACTGAACGCAAGATAAACGCAAAGAAACACGACGCTTCTCGTGATAGCGAGAAAGCTATTCGCACGTAATCCGAGTATTTCCTAGTAAACAACAAACTGCTGCTATTTGCTTTTACACCTGTGTTAGGTGAAATTTCAGTAGGAAATTCTTCAGAGATTCTTTAATCGCATTTCGAGTAAACCGTATCAATTTTATTACTCACTCGTTCAATCAGAAAATATTCAATTCTGATATTTTCAATTTTCTAAGCTCCAGAATTCTCAAAGCATAAAGTTTCTCAGCTCTAGAGTTGTCAAGCATTCAAGTATTTAAATTCTAGAGTTCTCGAGCTCTAGAATTTCCTACTTTCAAATCTCTACATTTTTCCAAATTTTCCGATTCCCAAAAGTGATCCTACATAAACTTCCATCACCTGTATTCACCTTATCCTCCATCCATTGGAATTCCATCGTGTTCCATCGAACTTGTTCGCCTCGTCATCCCTTTGGCGATGCCGGTGGATATCCACGACTTAGCTTTAGCTCTACGCCCGTCACGTGACGATTCGCCTTACCGATCCTCCCCCGATGAAATCGGAAAGGAACTAACCCGTAGCGTAGTGGAAGCGGTCGGTCGCGTCGCGATACACAAAAAGCGGGGGTCGTTGGACAACCAAGTCAGATAATAAATTCCCAACATGGCAGTATCACGTCATCCCGGGGTTCGTTGAACTCGACGACGTCGCACGACAGTCCCGAAGAGGGAGGAAAGACGAGGGACGATGAGAGAGAGTGACAAGACGAAGGGGGAAGAAGAGGGATTCGATGAAAGAGAGAGAAACAAATGGCGAGGCAGAAAGAGAGACCGCTTCGTTTCGTGATATTTATCGAGCAACTCTATCTTTTCTTCTTCGACGTATTGAAAACAATCGCACTCGTAACCCTTTCGGTCGCCTGACACGGAACGGGGTAGTTTCTTCTTGAATTTCATCGAACTTACGGGATGCTTTTTGGAGAACGTCTTAACCCTTTGCGGTTGATCGACGAATTTGTTCAAACATAATTGTCATAGTAATTTATAATTCTGTACATTTCTTCTTTTGTTTATTAAGAAATATTGAGAAAATTCGATGGAAACGTTAATAAACATTGATTAAAAATTATTACACATCAACGCCTTGGTCCTTGGCAGGATAGTATCGATCCTTGATCCACGTGTAACATTATTTGGCCCAATTTCATCGAAACTTCACGGTACAATGGATCTCTTCATTAGATCGTTAACCCAAGAAGATCTGGTTGTTAGTTTTTTGCGGTTCGCAGAATTCGACCCGATGCGTAAGCGCCTATTCTCTTCTCCTTTACTCTCCGGTTACAACACTCGTCCACCTTCGTCCCTATCTTTTTTTCTCCCTCGATCATTTTCGTAATTCATTGGCTCAATGTCGGGTCGAGGTTTCACGGGGTTAGGTCTCGTTGAAGGAAGTTCCAGGGCCCCTGGTCGAATTGACCCCGCTCGAGTTCATTGAACTGGCTCCTGTATGCAAATGACAGCGACAAAATTTCGACCGTTCTCTTCTCTCTGTCACCAATATCCATCCTGGAATTTTTTTTCCCGCTATTCATTTTCACACCTATCTATTTATGAGACGAAAGATTTCTTCTTTTCGCGTTAGAACAAGCGACAATTGAAACGGCGTAAAATACAGAAATTCTGACACGATTTCACGACCTTAAAAGTATCGTGAAATGGCAAAGCGTTCATTATTAATTTTGATATAAAACGATTACTTGTTAATTATATTTGTTAATGGACCATATTATGATGGAAATTGGTCGATGGTCGACGCAAAGTTCTATATTTACCCGAGCGTATACAGTCTCTTATCAGGTGAACGGACCAAAACGGCCGGGGCTCGTGGCGTTCTCGTTCGTTCCTCGGAGATCGGTTCAACGAACCCTGTGCACAAGTCATCTCGTATCACCGAGGTTAATTGGGGTTGTAACTTTCTCCGATCTGATTTATGCCCGCGAAACATTGTCGCCCGATGTCGGCTTTCTTCAACGTTGAACGCTTTCCAACGGAATTCAACCAGATTCAAGATCCAAGAACCTTTCGACTTTTCAATTTCTCAAACTTCTAAGTTTGAAAATTCTGAAATTTCCGAACGTAAGAGTGCTCCGATGCTCGAGCATTAGAATTCTAAAAAAAATGTGAAATATGAAATTTTCATTTTCCGAGCTTTAGAATTCTCGGATTGCCGAGCTTCTAAACTTGCCATTGAGGATTAAATGATCGATTCGCGATGGTAGTTAATAAATTACTCGAACGACACGCAAATTTCACGCGGCTCCCGTTCAGCGATTCCGATCTCCGCCTATGAATAATTATGTCGCCAGTGTTCGAACCTTTCACGAGCAAACGACGCAGAAGTACGTATCTTGTTCAGCGACAAGTCGAATCGTTGATTCTTCCACTGGTCGATCGTAAATTTGCAATACCGATATGCAAATTGTGCCGCGAGCAAAATGCGCGCGTGTCGTGCTTGAAAACTCGAGCACGCCTATCACAATCGCATAATTGTCGGTAAATTGAGTTATCAGCGTCTCGTTTGTCGAGCATGAATTTGCAATCGAGACGATTGCAAGGGTCTGTTATTGTACCTTAAGTTTTCAAAGGGCAACCAGAAACTACTAACCAAAATAAGCTATATTTCGATGAAATTCGATCCAGGAAAAGGACAGTCGCTTTCGGAAACGAAAATTGTCAGCGTTAGGCCGACGGAGATGGGGGATAATGCAAAATGCACGATAAAATGGCCGCGTGCGCGTACGACGTCCCCGGTATCTGATCGTGAAAGCTAAAATACAACCACCAAATGCTCGTACTTTCTACTACGTTGCTTACTGCGAACTACGTGCGATAGCAAAGTGATAAAACGTCGCGGCGCGCAACAGGGAGCAACAGAAAGAAAGAGAGAAGAGGTGGACGCTGCGGCGTCCCACTTTCCAAGCAAAAGATACCCGCGGAGATAGCTTGCACGGTCCCCCGGACGCTTTCCAGCTAGGCGAAAAAATCGAAATGTGCTCGATAACTCGATTTACGAACCGATACCGGTCGCTGCCACTGTTTGCCTACGCTCGCGCCATCCATACATCTCCAATGAAATTTCGCAATCGAATTATCCCCTTTGTACGTTTAAAATTACATTTTCCGAAAAAAAATCAAACATACCAGGTTATAGTACAGGATGAAATAAAAAAATTCACCCGCGGAACGTCATAAGTTGTTTAACTATTTTTAGATAAAATCAAAGAGAAAGCTCCTGTCTCATCGGTTCAGTGTATCAGAATTATTCTAAAGGAGGCTGATTATAATTCTACCAGTTTTATTCGTTTTTCCTTGCGAATAACATCAAGATAAGGACTGAAACTCGATGTCAGAGGAAATTTGCGAAAGATTGAGCGGTTGTATGCGATTCTATCGTAACGCGGTGCGTGCTAAAGTCTTTCCGTGCGACGAAAGCCGGCTGCAGGAAACCCGTTTCGTTCGCTGCACCCAAAACGAGGTTATCTCGGTTCTCACCGCGAGTCGCGCGTGCAATACGCGTGTAATTTCGATATTCCGCTCGATTCTCGCGCGAAGGTTTCATCGATGACCCCCGCGATTCCGAGTGTTTTTCCTTAACCGCATCATCAATTACAGTCGCGATTTTCCTACGGTATCCGCGTTTTCATTTAACACACATTACGTGAAATTTGCGATACTAAAATTCTTTTTTTTTTTGTATTTATGTTATTATTTTATGGAGGAACGAATAACGCGGCTCGTTGGATCCATGGACGGTTTCCAATGACTCGTTTATAATATTTTTATCGATCTTAGTTAACAAGACAAAGAAAACACGGCGGTTTCTAAATTCGACAAGCTCGAAATAAAACTGTAAATCGGGTCACTTTGTAACGTTA